GGGGGTGTTAGGTGTAACTAACGTTGCAGCGCTACGGGCTGGGCTGGACTACCGTGTACTCAGTCAGTTCAATCCAATAAACCCTTCAAACGCCGGTCCATCGTCTTCATACCGAACTTCAACCTTTTCTTCTCGACGGTCGACGGGGGGGGGGGGGGGGCATGCTAAGCGTGGACGCATGGTCGAGGACATTGCCTTCATGTCCTTCAGACCCTGGTGGATCTGCCTCGGGCTCTGAGCCCCGCCCTAGACCGCGACGACCGTCCAGCGACAGCCGTGCAGCAAAACGGTGGCGAGGCAGCGCGGCCCGGAGCGGAGAGCGGCAGGGTTCGATACCCGGACGTGAACCGCGCCAAGCGTGAAGCACAAGGCCTATGGTGCGGTGCGTCGCGGCCCGATCGTCCTGGAGCTCGCGCTCGCGGACTATCACCAGCAGGTCACTCCAAGGCCTCGCTCCAGCAGCAGCCATAATACACGTTTTATCGTCACCTTTGATTACCACTCACCACGGCAGCTGGCAGCTCGCAGCTGGCTGGGAAGCGGCGAGGCCTAGATAGATAGGGGACTATAGAGAGAGTTTCTCTAGGTCTAGGTTCCATCTCTTGTTGTTCTTCACCGCTTCCCCGATCAGATGCATCTCCCTTTTTCTGATGTGTCCGTCACCGCGCCCGCCCTTGCGTGCCCCGGAGCCCGGATACGTCCTTGGATTATTGAACAGCCCATTTTGCATCTCAGTTCCATCAGGAAGAGCGAGCGCAACGCCTCTTTTCTTTCTTTTTCTTTTCAAAAGCTTTTTCCTTTTCTGAATATTTTTTTCTTTGCAAAATGGTTGGGGTATGGGAGACGAGTGGATGAGAGCGGCCGACACCTCTCGCGATTCGCGGCGCTTTACTAGCCATTCATTCGTCCACGTCGATAATGGACGGTGCGAGAGGGATTAGATGTGCACGCGGGATGGAGAGAGACGGGGATATCATCCTCCTCCCCGAGCACTCGTAAAACGCACAACATTTTGCACCGCTTACAAGTAGTTAGTTTCATTTCGTAATCGGCGTCGATCCTGATTGACTTGATGATTCCAGTCTGAACCGGCCGAGTCCAGCCCGCACCCCTGGACAGCGCCCCAAGGCCGTCGTTATCATTTAACAACACCGCTTCTCCATTCCCTGTTCGCAGCATCCGCGTACTGGCGGCGCTCGGGGCTGAACCGGGTGCGCGCCAAGCTGCAGGAGCAGCCCGTCAGGACGCGCGCCAAGAACGTCATCCTGTTCCTGGGCGACGGCATGTCCATCCCGACGCTCACCGCGGCGCGCATCCAGAACGCGGGCGAGAGCTCGGCCCTCGCCTTCGAGCGCTTCCCCTACTCCGGGCTGTCCAAGGTGAGTACGGTGGGCTGCCTACCCCAACGGCGCGGCAGGGAACTGCGGCTGCGGCGGGCGGGAACTCTTGGTGACGACCTTCGTGTGTCCACAGACCTACTGCGTCGACAGCCAGGTGGCGGACTCGGCGTGCTCGTCCACGGCGTACCTATCCGGCGTCAAGGCCAACCTGGGCACCATCGGCGTGACCGCCGCCGTCGTCCGGTCCGACTGCAAGGCGTCGCAGCGGCCCGAGAACCAAGTCAACTCGATCCTGCGGTGGGCCCAAGACGCGGGCAAGCTGACGGGCATCGTGACCACGACCAGGGTGACGCACGCGTCGCCGTCCGGGACGTACGCGCACGCCGCGACCCGCGACTGGGAGAGCGACAAGGACGTCCGCAAGGACAAGGTGGACCCGGAGGAGTGCCCGGACATCGCGCAGCAGCTCGTCACCGGCGAGACGGGCCGCAACATCAACGTGATCCTGGGCGGCGGACGGCGGGAGTTCCGCTCCAGCAAGGTGCGCGACGAGGAGGGCGAGAAGGGTCACCGCAAGGACGGCCGCGACCTCATCGACGAGTGGCGCCGAGAGAAGAAGGACCGGCGCGCCAACGCGACCTACGTCTGGGACCGGCAGGGCCTGCTCGGCGTGCAGCCCGAGACCACGGACTATCTCCTGGGTGCGTACACATGCAATCGATATTTTCTGCACATATGTAACTCGCGAAAGGTTTACATAAAAAAGTAAATTTGCAAAAAAACAATTTTTTTTAGGATCGTAGAAACATTTGTGGAAACACATTTATGGCACTTGGCTGCGTGAACCTAACTATGAACATTATGATTACAGGTCTGTTTGAGGCGAGCCACATGGAGTACCACATGGCGGCCAACCCGGACACGGAGCCCACGCTATCCGAGATGGTCCGCACCGCCATCCGCGTGCTCAGCAAGGGCAAGGAGGGCTTCTTCCTCTTCGTGGAGGGCGGCAAGATCGACCTGGCGCACCACAAGGCGCGCGCGCGCCGCGCCCTGGACGAGACCATCGAGTTTGCCAAGGCGGTGCAGGCCGCGCAGGAGCTCACGTCCGTCCAGGACACGCTGACGGTGGTGACGGCCGACCACGCCCACACCATGTCCATATCGGGCTACCCGACCCGCGGCAACGACATCCTCGGCATCGCGGGGACCTCGAACGTCGACCAGAAGCCCTTCACCACCATCAACTACGCCAACGGCCCGGGCTACAAGCGGCCCTCCAAGACGGGCGCCCGCTACGACTTGAGCAGCGACGACATGGGTAAGGAGCGCGGGAGCGTTTGAAATGGCTCTGTTCGTTCTCCACTCCTGTTCACGACGAGTTTTCTTTGGTTTCAGCCAACGACAAGTACGCCTACCCCGGCGTGTTCCCCCGCGAGACGGAGACCCACGGCGGCGACGACGTCGGCGTGTTCGCCATCGGTCCGTGGGCGCACCTGCTGACGGGCTCCTTCGAGCAGAACGTCATCCCCTACGTCATGGGCTACGCGGCGTGCATCGGCCCGCAGGCCGCGGAGGGCTTCTGCCCGGACCCCGCAGTAGCCCCCGCGCCCGCCCCTGCCGTGGTCCCCGCCGGCGAGAAGCGGCCGTCCGCCCGGGCGCAAGCCGCCCCCGCCGAGGCCACCGACCTCTCCCCGGGCGGCGCCGCCAGCACGGCCTGGCTGTGGCCCGAGCAGGAGGCGGCCTCCACCCTGGCCACGGACGACGCGGACGCCGAGGTGCAGGACGCGAGCAAGATGAGCGTGGCACCGGCCTCGGCGCCGGAGTACGAGTCCAGCACCAGCTCCACGGAGGCCGTGGACAAGGACAAGCGCAGCAGGCGGCGCCACAGGCCTCGGGGGAAGGGCAGCGACTGAAGGGTGGGAACGTCAAAACAGTGAGAAGCGAAGACAACACTTATCGGTGGGGGCCCTCTTAGGGTCGCTAGGTGCACAAGTTCAAGAGACAAAGCAATGACCTACATTGTTGAACGGATACGGATGCGCCTCTGCAATGCCCCACGACGGTGCCTCGCAAGGTGCCGAGTAGCTCCTAGACTTCTGACGTGCCATAAGACGAGCGTAGTTAGTGATACCCATCTACCCGTTAGGCAGCCCCCGGCCTGGCCTGAGGCCCGGCCTCCCCAACGGGCCGTCCGTCCGTCCGTCCGTTCCGGTTACGGGAATGACCGCTTTCCTCCCATCGACAGTCGTGTAGCCGCTGGGACTTTGCGAGAGAGACGGCGAGTGGATTTCCTTTTACGAGGGCGTTTGATTGATCTCTCACTACTGTGCTAGCTTGGACCACTCGCACAATAAGTCTTCGCGCAGATTTTAGCGAATGTTGTCGAGAAACTGACGGCGATGATATGATAATGCCAAAGATGAGGGCCAGGGGGCCTTGTTGGGTGCTTTTGGTGGTGTCATCACGACCTCAGAGTGCGACGATGAGGTAGTAGTGGTCGTCGGACCTTTACTCCCAAACTGAAATGTGATATATGGTCAACCAATGTAAATATATGAATGTGAGATTAGTGACGAATAAATGGATATTTATTACTTTTTATCGGTCACCATTTCACACAATCAATCAAGTAAACCGAACCGACATGTTTCTTCTTTTCCGTCGCCTATCAATCACAACATAAGACAACCATAAAATTAAAATCGGTTCTGCGAATTTTAATGAGGAATATGCAGATAATTCGCACCTGTCGCACCCCGTTAGACCAGACCTAACCAGATTGTACCCATCTCTTCCTCACGCCCGACATGGGGTATTCCCTCCTTTCGCCTGGGAGGGAGTATACTCTCCACACACCGCTGCGCTCTGGCGGCCGCTCGCCGAACCGCAGCCTGAGGCCCCTGAGCGCGGCAGATAGGAGACAGACGGACGGACGGACAGCCTTGTTGCCGACTTGCCTTTTTATTTCTCGATCCGCGTGTAATTGTTTACGTTGATTGAAAAATGGTTCCGCTCCGGCCTAGACGAGCGCCACCTGCTGGCTACCCGCTACTCTCGGGACGGCAGAGGTCCCCGTGACTCGGCCGCGGCCGCGCGGGGGCCGACCATCGTCGCGACCGCCGCGGGTCCATATCCGATAACGGGTGACGAGGAAGGTATGACCCGCGGTCCGCGCCTTGGGAGAGAGAGCGGGACAGGAAACGGGCCGCCGCCGCGAAGGTTTGCAAGTCGAGGAGGTGGAGGGAAGGTGCTAAAACGTAACGCACTCGCCACTCCCCCCACCACCTCCTCCTCTTCCAAGCACCACCCCACAGCAGCAGATCCTTGCGAACCGAACAGGAGGCGGCAAGCCGCAAGGCACAAGGCCAAGGACACAACATCCAACATCGGCGCGAAAAATCCAAACTCGCTCTGACGTCAGCGGCGCAGCGTGCCGAGTCGACTCTGATGAGTGCAGCCGCGAGGCTACCGCCATACTCTTTGTTTGACAGATAATGAAAAAAAAAACATGTCCCAAAAAAATAATTTGCCCAGAAAACCTAATTATGAAGGGGGATAGGACCTCTAGCAGTCGTCGTGGCTCTGCGTCAGCCTGCGTGGTAGGCAACCTCGAGGACGGCACGCACGCGTGTATCGCCGTTGCCTACGCTTAGGCGCTCTCCACCCGCCGAGCTCGCTGCTGGAGCCGGGCGGAGAGGGTGTGTGGAGTTCGGATTAACCTCTGAGGGGGGTGCAGGGACAGGGGCCGGGCGGGGTGCTGTAACTTTCACCAGCCACCTTCACCTTCGCTCTCGTCAGACGCTGGACTGTACTCTTCTTCCATCATATTAGGAAGATTAATTAAGTCATCGCCATGCTTTGGATCACCCCACCAGCTAGAGGACGATGAAGTCAAAACGATGTCAAGGTGAGTTCGGCATGAACTTTCTCGTCATCCCCAGTGCCGCTACTACTTCCCGTCCATCACGACCGTTTTGTTCCACCTGTAAACCCCATGCTGCCCTTATTCGATGTCACAACACAACATCCAGCAGTAAGTAGTTTACAGCATTATCACTCGAGCGATTGATAAGGGGGTTCGTCCGAGCGCCACCGCACTGCTATGATGCCGACCCGGCTCCTTTTCTTTCTTTCTTTTTCTTTTTTCTTATCCGTCTAGGAAACCACTCATGAGGCGGGCGGGCGGGCCGAGTGAGTGGCCAGACCGATTGACGTCAGCACGAGGAATACAATGTGTACCCCTGGTAGGTGTACCCACACCAACACCTGCAGGCCGCCGCCCCGCCGCCGCCGGAAAGGCGGAAAAGTAAAGGGGGGGTGGGGGGGGGGGGGGTGGCATACTCGCACTCCGCATACCGGGCTCCCCGGCCTCCGGCGTACGCGCCTCAGCCGATGTAGTCCGTAGTCCTCTCGCTGTCACCAGCCCCCCGCGCCCCCCTAAATTCCCCGCCCAAAGCCTCCTCATACGACGCGCTCCGTGACATCAACGCCGCGCCAGCGCGCGGCGGGGGCGGCAGAGTGTGCAGAGGCGCCCCAGCAGCACAGCACCGCCACAACAACAGTCCAGTCACCTCAGCCCAGCAGCAGCAGCAGCCGGCACCCCGCGCACGAGAGACTTCCCCGAGCCCTCCTCCTCCTCGACCACCACCTCCTCCTCCTCACCCCGCTCCCCTTGCGCGGGCGAGCGGCCAGTAGCGGCAGGCGATGTGTGTATGTGTGTGTGTGTGTGGCCCCGTTGGGCCCCGGTGACGTGACGCGCGGAGCGGGCCAGCGGGCCCCGCACACACACACGCCGGCGCTCAGAGCGTGTCGCTGCCAGAGCGCGTCGTCGCCGCCGCACACCCGACCTGCGCCCGCGCGCCAGCCCGCCAGCCGCGCCAGCACCACCGCGACGACGTCGCACCACCGCGTCGACGAGCGACGCGTCGTCGTCCGCGCGGGCCGGCCGCGACCGACCGACCAACCGACCGACCGTGTTCATTCATCTCAACGACAAGGTGTGTCGTGTGCCGTGCGAGCAGCGTCGCGGTGCCGGCCGTCGGCTGAGCGGGTGTGAGTGTGTGTGTATGTGTGTGTGCGTGTACGCCTGCAGGACTCAAGCACACACATAGCTGCTGGCCGGCGAGGACGTCAACCCTCTCTGCTGCTTGGCCAGCATGGTGAGTATGTAAATGACGCTAAGTATGCCAAAGCTGCTGCTGGTGCTGCTTGCAGAGAGACCCGAGTGGTGGATGGTTGTTGAGTTGTTGCTGGTAGGCCGCTGAGTTTTTGCGTTCGCGGCGAATATGGATCACAAAGTTGTTGTTCTCGCTGGAGAATGTAGTCGAGTGGAAGGGGCGTTCGTGCAACGGATAGTAAGTAGGGGGCGGCAACGCGCTTTGTGAAAATGTCTCAGTTGCGACTGTTAGTAAAGCAGGGAATTTCCCTCTTTGCGCTGATTGGCAGGATGAGAAATTCTTACAAATCCATGCCAATTTCCCACCCGAACACCCAAAATCATGAATGCTGCCAGTAGGAAAACTTCCGCACCAACTCGAACGGCGCCAGATTGTGTGATTGGTAGTTCCAGGCAGCCGGCACCAACAAGTAGGCAAAATGACATTTTGGCGGGAAGAGAGGAACGTCGCGGCGGCGGCGCTAGGCAGGCTGCGCTGCGGGACCGACCGGCTTGGCAACGCTCCGCCACGCCGCGCCACGCCCCGCCACGCCACACGCGTCGCGGGCGACTCGTCACGCGGGGCGGCCCGGCCCGCTCCATGCCTCACCGTGACGTCAATCTATGACGTAAGCGCGCTGGAACCGGGAACCTGTTGGATGAGACTCTCTGGCACAGCGCGCGGGGAGCCCCGCCGCGCCCCGCCTCCCCCC